ACTCTGCCCATTCGAAACAGCGGCCCAAAACCCGTCCTGTCGATCACCTCTCAAACTTTGGGATGCTGTCTTTCCAAGGCCTTCAAAAACTCAGTGTCGTTACAGCGGTTTCTAACTGTGCCGTTACGATATCTCTCTAAATCTTCAAATACCGCATTCGACCGGTGTCGGTACTGAAGATATAGAAGGGACCGATCCCTCGGACCGGGGTGCACATTGTAGCGCTCATGTTGTGACGAGGACGATGATGCCATTTTCCAAAAAAAAAAAAATAGAACAACCATTATATTATTTGTAATAAAAAAGGGCAATATAATCAACTCTCCTACACATCATTTCTTCAATCAGACCAAAAAGTTTATCAAAAATCATCCAACTACAAGTATTACCTCAAATAATTCATCAACAATTCACTAACCCTCGTTCAACACCTCTTCACCTCATCACAATAATCACAAATTCACAAATAAATTTATTAAAGCCAAGAACACAAACAATTAAGCTAAAAAACAAAGTCACCTCATGCCAAACATCACTTTCTTCTTCATACCAATCAATTTAAATAGCAAAGCAAATGAAAATGAGAGCAAATTCGTCAAAAGAAACCCGCACACAAGGTGTTCGATAAAATTCAACAACGAGTTCTTAACCCTAACATCATGCTTTTGCTAGAAACACACCATCCATACCCTAATCCAATTCAAATACCCTAATCTAGTTCAAAACCCTAATCCAATTCATAACCCTAACCTCAATTCATAACTCAATCTCACAACACATTATCAAATTATTGAAAAAAATGAAAAAAATTGAAGCCTAATAGAAGAGTATGTACCTAATCAGTGCGGCGGCGGCGACAGTGCTCTTCCTTTCTTCTTTCTCGCTTCTCTCTCGCCCTCAATCTCAATCTCTCCTCTTCTTTGTGCTCTATGTTCGCCTAAGTGGGGAGAAGAAAGAATTTTTTATTTTTTTTTTATATTTACCAGTAAAACGTATTCTGAGAATATATTTTACTCTTAATTATTTGTAAACCATATTTTGATATATTATATATTATATACTATACAGTAAACAATATATAACATGCTATACATCATATACTATATACTATATTATATAGTATATAATATAATCTATAGTATAGTATATAGTATATACTATATATATAATAGGCATTGTTCGAATTGTTTGACATGTTTGTGTTCGTGGTTTTACTATATAGTATATATACACTATATAAAATTATATACTATATACTTTATACTATACACTATATACTTTATAATATAAACTATATGCTATATACTTCATACTACATACATATATAAAGTATATGTATATGTATATACTATCTACTTCATACTACATACTTCATAGTACAAACTATATATATAAAGTTATGTTCATACTATGAATTGTTCGAATTGTTCAAAAAATAATCTAATTTTAATCTTAGATGTAATTGTATGATTAAATTTAATCTTAGTTTTGATTTAACATACTATCATGTAATTTATATTATTACAATCATATTTAGAGCATAACGTTATTCAAATTTGTGTGTAAATATTATAATCAACTCAATTTTAAACTAAACAATGTTTATTATTAATGTTTAAATTTCTAGGGTATAAAACGTATTATCATAATACGTAATTGAATAGTAAGACGTATTCTAATAATACGTTTTGCAATTAATTAATTCTAAAATGTATTATGCGAATACGTTTTATACTGGTATCCCGCGAAATGAACGCAGCTCGTGAAACAGACCTCCCGCGCGCGAGTTTTAACCTCTGAACTTGTCGCGCACCTCGCGAATTTCGGGACACTCGCGAAAAATAATTTTCGGGCGTGGATTATTTTTAGAACGTATAACCACAATACGTTTTACTCTTTATTTTTTTTTTTGTAAAAAAATTAAAATGTATTTCAGTAATACGTTTTAGTTTTTTTTAAGTAAAATGTATTACAAGAATACGTTTTAAACTGTAAGTTTAAAAAAAACTAGTTTTTTCCATTCTTTAACAAAA